CACACACACACACACACACACACACACACACACACACACACACACACACACACACGAACATATCCAGAATGACGAGACGCTTGTTGCTTTTCCAAACATATACATTTTGTTTATCGCTTTTTGCACCGAACATATCCAATTCATGTCACGTTTAGTGTTCGATACATTTCAGATAATTATAATGGAATTAAAATTCAATTGATTTCGGGTTGTGCTGTGCTATGCCATGGTGTTGTCTGCATGAAGCTGTCATCTCACGATCAATACACATATTCTTCGGGCTTTGTGCGGCTGAGTTTTATAAGCCACCTCAGCCACCAGCATTTGGTATCGTCGTCGTTACCGTCTCGATACGAATCAATATTTACATCTTTTGTATATGAATGGCCATATCGAATATTTGATCAGTGTACAATACGATGTTATTGGTGTACAATTTTATCAAACAGAAGAGGCCGAATATGTACAAAAAAAAACCATGTGTTTGATCCAACCACGGGTTGTGTGTTGAGACTAAATGTCATACATACATATATTCATACATCACTTCTCAAATTTTTTTTTATCGAATGAATTTCTGTCTTTTATTGGAAATTAAATCGAAAATGAATGCATATACATAGTTCAATGGGAGACAGTGTTATATAGTTTAAGAGAACGTGGTTCGGAGTGTCATTCAATTCGAGCCAAATATTGTTAATAGCAATAAAAAGCAATGGAACCGCTGTAAATTTCGATAGATAAAATAAAAATCGATTTAAATGAAATGCATAAACGTCGTTTGTTTTAACGCATTAGAGAGCCGCCCGCAACGAAACCAAATTTCATTTATTATAATTGCATTCATTTTTATTGATTAATGTTCAATATTTTCATTTGATTGAGACTAATGTGCGCGTACCGATATTGGTGAACCAATACGAACAGCCGACAATAGGTTCAAACTCAGAGTCGAAATTATAAAATTTATGTCGTATTGAATCGTGCAGAATTGACACCCTGGAGTTGCGTGTGTATGTTTTGTGTTCAGCTACTGTTTTCCATTCGATTCACTTTAACACATTTTAATTACATAATTGAACGACAAAACAAAACAATCATGTCAATTGGTTCGATTATCGGCGACAAACTTGCGTTTGTTGTCGCTTTTTGACAGTCAAACATATCATTTCTTTTCGACTGCGGCTGCGGCAGCGGCTGCATGCAACCGCCACTCATTCATCTTGTTTTTCTATTATTAAATTGACATCAGTTGATGTGTTAAATGCTTTTAAATCGATTTGTATTTTACGGTCGCATTTGCCCATTTATCTCTCTCCCTCTGCACAACTGAATCACACAGCTCGCAATGTTGAATGATGCAATGAATTCAAAAGAATCGAAACCATTTGATGGTTTCTATAAAAATCAACTAAATTCTGCCTACGAAAATTCTTGAATTCTCAATAAATTGAGACAATTTTATGACTCTCGATACAACAAATGATCAAACAAAGAGAAAAAATGTTGTCGTCACCGTTTCTTCTCTCGAATTCATTTTTACTCATTCATTTTTTTCTGTTGCTGTTGTGGTTTTCTTTTTTGCTGAGTTCATCGTCGCTTGTCACCTACATGGGGGTTTGGTCAGATCTAACCGAATCGAATTGGTATATCATTGATTCGATCCGTGGGAAGTGTATAATAAATTATGAAATTAGCATTATTTAGTGGACCGCATTCTTTTGTGCGCCGCACACCGAACACACCAAAATCGATT